CATCTGATCAGTTTCTGATCAGAGTACAGTACTCTATCCGTTGATCCACCGATCTGATCAGTTTCTGATCAGAGTACAGTACTCCATTCCTTGATCTGGTCATCCGATCAGAAATTAATCAGCGCACAGTACTCTATCTGTTGATCCAACCATCTGATCAGAAATTGATCATAGTAGAGTATCCTATCCCTTAATCCAGTCATCTGACCCATTTCTTATCATAATCTAATGCTACAAATTCTATTACGGTTTCGGTACAATCTTTAAATCAAGATTGTATCGATGTTCTGAACTGGATCATAATACAGAACTTTATCTTTTACCTCATTTATTCTGTATGCAATATTGTTCATCAAACAAACGGATCCGACACCGGTCTTAGAAACAGATCTGAGATGGATTTTTCAAATGTATCCTATGTTGATCATATATGGCGTGACGATTTTCCATCATACCCGGATCAGAAAGCCTGTTTTATTTCTGATAAATCTTCAGGCAATCCTGATCCGCCTCGGATCCAATCCACTAACTAATTTCCAGTTGGGTATGTATTAGTGTGACGCAAATTACACTGTTCTTATTTTTCGACAAACCGGCAGTCTTGAAATATTCTTCCTGTGTTTGCCAGAATATTCTTTTAGTTACTCCAAAGAAGTACCTACTTCTCGCGCGTGTACATACATACATACTCCACACTCCATCTTTATTTTATTGATGAATCGATTTATCGTCTTTTTTTTTCAGACATCTACATGAACGACATCAAATCAGGAGTATGTGATCCTAATGCAGTCCCAACAATTCTAAAGGAAAACGATTGCACTGCCTGGGTTGACGGCTGTAATGGCATTGGTGCAGTAGTAAGCAATTTCTGCATGAAACTGGCGATTAAGAAAGCCAAACAGTCTGGAATAGGGTGGGTGACTTGTAAAGGTATATGTTGCACACGATAAATAAACATTAAGACGATAATATTCACAACAGTTAACAGAATCAAGGCTACGGCTTTATGAAAGTAGGTTTTAAAGTAAATTAATGTGTTTCTGCAGATGGAAGATTTACAATTTTCACTTTATAATCCAAAACCGGCACTATTAAACTGAATACGTACCAAATGTATGATTAATTATAAATTACTTCAACTGATGAATTGATAGTTTTCTCGCTGGTAGGCCGTGCCCTACCATTTGAAACAGCAAGTGAGATTCGTACCGAAGCAGCAAATATACTCAAAAAGGCATAACCGCCAAAAAGCAATATTACCGAGGGCGAAACTATCAATCACCGCAAAACATCGTGAAACGTTATCCCACGACTAATTGTAAGATTCTTCGCGCTACTGAAAGCCTCATAATGAAATCATCTTTACCTCAAGACCTAAATCAGAAACTAATGCTATCGTACCATAAAGATTATTCGACCTGCCGAAAATTAACAAGAATGGTATTCCACTCCGACCCATACGTACTTTTTTTTTTTTGTTTTCATGGAAGAGGGAAAATCTTCAAAAGACACCCAGCATGTACGTACGACTGGGTAGTGTCGGATTCCCGAGGAAGGTGTCCTTGGACCTACCAGCTAAAACCCCTCTATCTTAGGGCGTTCTAGGGTCACTTAAGATCCTCTTCAGCCGTAAGTGGTCCTACTTAATGCCATCGGTTCACCAACTTATGCTTTAACCGAATACCTGGTTTTTTACATTCAAGCAGTGCATCAAATAATTCAACTGTTTAGCTAGCCTATTAGTTTCACGATGATTTCACACATCTACGGATTCAACAGTCACCATTTATGGATTCTCTAATGCATCTCATTGGTTATGGTGGCATACATATGCTTACAGTTTATTTAACCGTCAACTCACTATCCACACATGAAGTAACGTCACTAATCATCGCAAAAACCACTCAAATCTCTGAATCTCTGAAGAACATCCGATTAACATCAAAAGACAATCTTATGAGTTTTGATGTTGTTTCACTTTTTACAATGATACCTACGAAAGAAGCTGCAGAGCGGAACACCTTTAAAACATGTTCGCAAAGGACTTCACCAGATTTTTCAAACAGGTGCTGGATATGACTTATTTCCAGTAGGACGGTCGTTTCTTCAAACTAACTGATGGATGTGATATGAATAGCCTATTTCTATGGTTTAGAGTCAGGAAAAAGAAAAGCATAGTCAATTTAGACAAACAAAATCCAACCCCAACAGGAAACAGGTAAAGGACTATATTGGTAATATATCACTATATTTACACCAACTCAATAACACAAAAAAAATAAGTAACGTACCTTCTGCAAATCATTCAAAAGAACCTTTATCTGCATGTGGAATTTAGAAAATACCCTGTTCCTGTGATGACTAATATGTCAGGACGACAGAACATAGTGTGACTACAAGAATAAAAGAACATATCAGGAATTTAAGGATAAACTTAAACAAAAAACTCGGCTGTTGAGAAACATGCTTGGCAGATAACAGAACAGCACAAGATTTTGTTTGACAATATTTACGTTTTGACCACAGTATTCAACTATTGTGTCAGACTGCATGTTAATCCTAACTAATAATATAAATGCGAAAGTGTCTTTGTCTGTTTTCTTATTACGTTTTAACAACTCAACCGATCATTATGAAATTTTGTGCACACATCATCAGGGCTACAGAAAAAGACATAGGGTACCTTTTATCCAGAAAAAAATACTGTCTCCGTGGAAAAAAAATAGTTTTATGTGGTATTCAATGGTCATTGAGACGTATTTAAAACATTAACGCTAGGGAAGCCTCTAGCAAAAGCCAGTAATTTTATAAAGCAATATCTATTATGTCACTGATGAATCATAAACACATCCGCACTATTCTTCAATGAAAGCAGCGATACGAAACGACCCGATCTACCATAAACTACGACGAAATCTACAATTACACTTACCACTCGTTTACCGAAGATGCCCCCCACAATCGGAAACGAAACGTCGGAAGCCTGCAATTTTACTGTAAATGAGATAGGCCGTGAAAGCCCAAATTCTACATTTAATGTTTTACATCTCCTTAATAACTACAAAATTATGCACTTGCCATTATTACATCCAACACCATCTACAAGAAAAAAAAATACAACGTGTAATTATACAACACGTTACTGAAGTGAAACTTCTTCAAACACACAAACATACCGGGATAGGGGTTAAGGAATTGGTTTAATGGTATTATTTGTACACTACGCTTCGCATGGGTGCGATGATGATAGTAAATATACTATAGAAAGTCTTTATATCCAACAATCACAGTTTTTTTGTCATTAGACAATACAAATCGGCCGGTATCGCCGCAACCGCTATATGTTCCTGCATTTTGCACAATGTATTTAAAAGTACTTAATTGGATAAGGATTAATGCTGTATTGATTAAAATCGCTTCGGAAATAAGTCATTATTTCTAGTAAAAAGTAAAGGATTAAAATATGGTTTTTGTGGATTATCCGTTTATAAATTTAGACATTTTAGCATACAATTAAGCAGGTTCATGTGTAGTAGGGGGACGAACGGACCTGTTACCTGTAAATGAACATAGTCTCACGTTTTTTTATATATTTTTATTATTAGCGTAAAAACAAAAAAAAAACATCCCAATCACTTTGATTAATTTATTTTGTATTTTGAAAATGTTAAAATACAAAAAAAAAGAGATCTTAATATGCAATACATTGATTCAATCAATTAAATCAATAGCTAAGAGTTATACTTCGTTTACTTTCTGTAGCGATGTGACCTTTAGTTTGACCGGCGCAATGTAGAAAAGAACAGCACTAGGCCAGAAAAGGAAGGAGACAACTCTCGGTCAAACTTAACCGGCGAGGAGCGTATAATCCATACAGTACTGCGCGGAATAATTGACCATTTTATCCACTACAATTGCATTGAAACTACTGAAAATATCAACTAGATGTTTATTTATATTTGAAGACATATTAAAGGCTTTAACGCTTGTTTTCGACTCGCACTGCTGTTCTTGATTGAACAAAACTTTTAGCAGGTACTGTATGAAAAAATATGCTTAATAAACAAGAGTCGAGAGTATAATGAGCTTTTTTATCCCTACCTACGATTTTGCCAGCGCGCATCCAAGACATTGGAAGGGGCACATCGCTACAGAAAGTAAATGATGTATACGTTGTTGCAGTCTTTGAAAAATTTCTTTAGAATAATTTTCAGGTTCCAACCATTTTGGAATAGCGGGCCACTACACCATGCAAGCTCAGAGAGAAGGGTTACTAGGATTTGCCTGTACTAATACTTCCCCATTTATGGCACCAACAAGAGCTAAACAGGTTCGAATTAATATGATTGCAATTTAAAAAATGTTTAAAAAGCATAATCTACTTCCTTTCTTGAACCATCGAATTCTAACCCACCAACATCAAGTCAAACTAATACAAATAGGTAGTCCAGTACCTTAGCCTTGTCATTTTTGAAGACATAAAAAAACAGAAAAAGAATTGACGCGCTAATATAGTGTTATCAAAAGTAACCTAGCCCAACCATGTTTAGATAAATGCATAAACAACTAGACATCACGAACGAAGTGAAATTCTTTTGGTTACATCAATGTGAACCTATAAAAAATCCTTAGGTTAGGTTGGGATTGACATAAGTTCAACTAGTTCTGATTTTTTGAAACTCGAAAACTATGATAAGAAATAGTTTCTTCGGCAGTATATACCTATCGTCATCATTATCATAAGGTCGACAGTCCTAAGACTGGTTGGACACGTACCTCCACTCTTTCCTATCCTGAGCTAAACTGGTAGACCTAGATTAGATCTAGTTTCAGAGAAATGCGAAGATTAGCTCATGATAGGAAATAATGGAGGTGCGTGTCCAACCAGTCTTAGGACTGACAACCTTATGATGATGATGGTGATTATAAACACTACGAACAAAAAAAAATATCTTTTACATCAGTTTTTCGTTAAAAATAACTTAAAAATCCATAAATAGCTAACCGAGTCGCTGGGGATAACCTTTCATTAGCCTGACGTCACAATACTGTAGAGTTGTAAAGACTTCTTTCAGCCTACATATAGAGATCGGCCTTATCAGCCTTTTGATTATGTTCAATCTTTGTAATATTAATAAGGCATTCGTTGTAGCATCATAAAGAACTTTGTTCCTTAACTGCTTATTGTAAGTTTACCTTATTTATTAAATTTACACAAGTTTTCACCCTTCAGAAACTGCAATGGTCGTAATACGTTTTTGTTACGTACTACAGCATAGTGACGTCACGCGCTTTCTCAAGAGTCATAGAACAATTGAAATCCAGGCGCTGTAATGTTCTCAAAAATGATTTTTCGGGAAAAGAGAAAATATTTTATTCACAAAGTCATACGCGTAGATTTCAAATATGCATTAAAAAAAAAATGAATGTCCCAACCTAATTATTTTTAAACGAGTGCTAATTATTTCACGAGCAGATTTAATATAATAATAAATTTTGTATCATTTTAGCCCGCCTTAGGAACAAATCCCATCAGCTTAGCAGTTCCTTCTTCCGGCAAAGAAGGAATGGTCCTAGACATGGCCACAACTGCCGTTGCAGTGGGAAAGGTTTTTGCAAAACAGAAATTTAAAAAAAAATGTATCTAAAAAAGGTTAATATTCTAGATAGAAATACAAAGGAGAAAAGAAGCACCACTCCCGTTAGGTTGGGCAATGGACGAGAATGGACAAGAAACATCTGATCCAAACAAAGCTCGCTTTCTGTATCCTTTGGGAGGAACGGAAATGAATTCAGGATACAAGGGATACGGCCTAGGAATACTAGTTGAAGTGTTTTGTGGAATACTTGGTGGTACGTATAAGCTGAAGAAAGGGAATTAGAATTTTTGCGAATGTGAAATTAAATAAATTAAATTAAAGAAACAAACCTTGATCCCTTTTTCGGCTTTTGATTTGAAATTACAAAATGCCAGGGAAAGAGATGATAATTAACTTGAATTATTTATTTAGACGTTTATTTTGGTATAATAAGTTAGTATTTTTTTATTTACAGGTGGCCAATTTGCAACAAACATTAGAAAATGGGGAGACACTACTAAAACAGCTAATTTAGGTCATTCGTTTTTTGCCTTAAATCCTAATTGCTTTGCTTCTGACTTTGAAAGCCGTATGCAAAATCTATCGGATATTTTAAGAAACTGTCAACGAGTAAGTTAAAATAGAAAGAGTAATTGTTTTATTTTAATAGGCTTAATTATCCAACAAGAACTGAAGAAGTTAAAGAATTGCCAGAATGTTATTCTTAACCCTTTCAATCGTTCTATTAAGTTACACTTTACATTCTTATTTCTATTAATTTTCTCTACATTATTCCCCACCTACCTCCTTATTTCTAACGAAATGTCCTTTTTCCTTCTTTTTTTACCATTTCTTGTTTTTCTTCATCCCATACCCCACCTATTATTAACTTCCTGTATTCAAATTTAACTACCTTATTCCCGTTCTTTTCTCTCCTCTTTTACCATGTATTCTGACATCCTCTGTATTCTTCTCTTTTCCATAGTCATATCATCTCTTATATAAAGCTTCGTGCCTCTCAGCCTTCTACCATTTCTAATTACCTGTAGCTTATCTTCCCACTTTTCCATTCTTGCTGCATGTACGTTCTTTTTAACTTTCCATACTTCCTTCACATCCACATTCAATCCCATCTTCTCTTTTGTAACTCTCTCCTTTCTTCTTTATTCTTATATTCCAAAGATGATCAGGTTTAGTTTTTTTTCTTCTTTTCTTTTCTAGTTCTATTTCTAATCTCCTTTCTTTTGCTCCTATACTTGCTTCTGTACTTGCTTCTCTATCTGCAGTTCCTCTTTTACCAATTCCTTGACTTTTTCTTTTAAGGCTGTCCTTTCTTGGTTTAAACCATCCCTTTTCGCTTTCTTCATTATATTTGCCAATCTTTCTTTAAGTTCCTGAACCTATCTTCCACTAGTCTCTTTCTCCAGATCTTTCATCTTTTCCTTTATACTTTTATTTTCTTCTGTTCCAATTTTTCCCACTTTTTTTTATACCTCTCTTTTCTTATTTTTCATCATTTTCTTTTCATTTTTCTTGACATATCCAATTTATCCATCTTGCTAACAAATTTTCTTTCTTTTCCACTTTTACCACAATTATAACATGAAGAACATCAGCTTTAGGAGTAAATAACCCTTACAAAAGTTACCTTTATTTTCATTTGAAATAAGGAAGTAATGACGCACTTTCAGTGGAACCGGAAATACCTCAATTTCGAAACAATTTTCATTAAATACACATAATCCGTCAAACCCATCCCTCTTTTCATTTTCTATAAATTTCTAACAATCAATCATTCTTTCTATTAATAAATACTACTATTATTTATCTTTATATTATTATCATTTCAGGTTAATCCTAACGAACCAGTATTAATTCCGGGCGATCCTGAAATCATGCACATGGCAGCTGTTGACAAGGCTGGAGGGGTGCGTTATTTGCAAAATCAAATGGAAAGTTGTAAGACCCTTGCGGCTACATACAATGTTACGCCATTGAAACCAAAAGATTAGTCATTACATTAAAATTTGTTACCTGTTATTTGTTATTTATATTATTTGTTAATATATAATTATCAATAGAACATGCATTTGTATGTTTACTAAGTAGCAGTGACGCAGCCACGGAGAGGATCGGTTTAGGAGGTTCAAACTGCCTCCTCCATGATTAGAATTTTTTAATATATGTGAAAAATCTAGTCTTGTTTCACCCTAAATGAAGTTTGGGCGGACTACCTTAACGCATACATACAAGGTCTGTTCAAAAAGTATCGTGAATTTTGAATTTCCGCGGATTTTCGATATTTTTGTGGCGTTATGTTGGTACTCATGTTTCTCATTTATAGCGACAAGTTGAATGTTGAATATTCAGTTAATTTTTAACAGCTGCTTTGCTTGCTCAAGTTTTGGCTCGTCTTCGATCTTTGCATATTCCAAAAAATGTATCAAAGAATTTGTATCAAATTTTGTGTGAAAAAAAAAATTATTCGGACTGTGGCATAAGGTGAAGCTACCTTGGACCAAAGCAACGTTTATCGGTGGTACAAAATGTTCTCAGACAATCGAGAAGATGTGAACGACGATGAACGTGTCGGAGGCCCAAGCAGGTCAACAACAGACGAAAACATTGATGAAGTGAAGAAAATAGTATTGGCCAATTGTCGAATCACCATTAGAGAAGTTGCTGAAGACCTAAGATGTTGGAATCTGTCCGCGACAACCCAAATTTGATCCAGAGAGTCATAACTGGTGACGAATCATGGGCTTACGGTTATAACGTGGAAACCAAAGCCTAATCATCCCAATGACCGAAAAAACAAAAATTGGCTTTTGCACCATGTTAACGCCTCTGACCACACATCGTTGCTTGTGCGCGAACTTTTGACCAAAAACAACACACTGATAATGCCGCAGCCACCGTAATCCCCAGATATGCCCCCCTATGACTGTTTCTTGTTCCCGAAACTGAAGAGGCCCATGAAAGGACGACGTAGTCATTCTCTGTCAAAGCTGTAGGGGGCGCCTACAGCTTTGCCATAGAATTATTTTGGTTTATTATTTGTTTCTTTACATTCACATACATGAATAGATAATTGTAATATGACTCGAAAAAGTAACTCTAATATCATTCTCAGGTTGGTACTTAAAATTGTGTTTTTTGAAAAGGCACCCTTCTAGTTTTCAGATATGCAAAATCGTTAACCAGTTGTTCAAACTCTTTGTCTTTGAGCATATCCCATTCTATGGACTGATCAATCTTTCTTGAAGCATTGTTCGGCTTAACTTATTTTTTATTCTTTTCCGTTTAAAGAAGGAGCGTTCGCCACTACAGTTAGTTACCATCATGTTTAAAAAGATTCTCAATGCAATTTCTACATTTGGAAATGTGTCTCCAACTCGGTTTTTTATCAAAATTCTGGAATACTATTAGTTTGCCAAATACAGACATTCTATTTCTAACTCTTTCTCGTTAACATCTTCATAGCAGCAAATTCTTCGAAACTTTATCTCGGGATTTGGAGTTTTCAAGCGAAAAACAATATCAACAATAACCAATGTCTTTATACAAACTCAATCGCTGTTTTAGATGTACACTTGGGATATCACTTATGGGAAGTAAGGTATTTCTACTTTAATATCTCTTCCCAACTCAGTTGGACTATCGGTGCAGAGTCAACAAAAAATGTCTGGCGCGAACTTCTAAGTCTTATTCTTTCAGACAAGTCCTTGTAGTCAGATTCTGTATTTTTCTCTTTGGAGAGCGATTCGAAGTAATAAAAATTTCAGAATATATAAATGTTTGAAGAATCAGCCACATTTAGGTATACTCGCGTTTATAGCATGCAAAAGTGATTATGTAAGTAAATATTCTAACAGCAATTATTGATAAATAATAATAAAATACTTTTTGAACGGACTTCATATAGGTGGATAAGCAAAAAGGTACTTTTTATTACAAAGTTACAAACTCTTTAATGATAAAGAAATGATTCGCACGAAATTAATCCAAGAATTTCAATATATAAATGCTAAAAAACAGAAAGGAAAAACAATGATTTATTTATATCAATAACTAATCTATAATAACGATCGACACCCGATAAAACGATTTTCCGAGGTCCTTAAATATAATTCAATTTTGTACAAGCCGATAATTTACTGCGTACTTACTCCGAAAAAAAAATATTATTTTTATAATAAATCAATAAACAGATAGGTTGATAATATAGGTGAGTACTTCAATTGCGTTATACGTTACATCATGAAATTTGAAGTGCTGACGTCAAACTACTATTTTTTAGAAAGGCTTTCAAACTGTCATTTGCACGGGAAATTAAATATCAAATATAACCACCATTGACGTAATTTCAAAAAGGACTGATGACGACTATTCAGGTAAAGTGCGTATCATGAAGACTGTCTATACCGCTATTTATACGAAATTTCCGTTATAATCATTTTTTAATACATACCTACATACCTAATATAGATATTGATTGTATAATAAGCAACTGGTAATTATAGAATTTGAGCAACGTCAGGGTTGCCGCCTTTTCGTCAAGCGAAAACCAGCCCTGAGGGTGATTTTTGGGGATCATACATTTTACTAAAATTATTTTTTCGAATAACCTAATCTACACTAATATGACTTAGATTTTAAAAAAATTGCTATAAGATTAAAACAGTAATATTATAGAAGTATTAGCATCTAGCAAGGAGGAGTTAGAGATAGCTTTGAATAAAATAGAAGCGGTACTGACAAAACAGTATTGTATGATAATAAATAAAAGTAAAACAAAATTACTGGTTTGCAAGGGAAGAAAAAGTAGGAAAGCGCGATTATAAAGATAGGAGACAAAAAATTAGAAGAAGTGACTGACTTTCGGTATCTAGGAAGTCAGATAACTCACGATGGAAGGAGCAATAGGGATATAAAACAGAGGATAGCGCAGGGTCGAATCGCCTCGATAAAAGAAGTCACTTCTATGTTCGCGAACGGTTACTTAAGAAATTCGAAAATGATTGTTAAAGCTGTGTGTCTGGAGCGCAGCGCTGTGCGGGTGCGAAACATGGACGGTGGGCGCGGCGAAAAAGAAAAGTTTAGAAGCGTTCGAAATGTGAAGTTACAGGTAAATGATGAGGATACCGGATAGAGGAGGTATTAGCAAAAATAGGAGAAAAAAAGACTCTATACAAGAGAGATGAGTTGGCAGGCATCAAGGGCTAGTCAGAAACATATTAGAGACAGAAACAGGAGTTAAGAGGTGTATAAGACTGGGTGAATCCCGGAAAGTAGGCAAATCAAACTACCACCATCTTGTTCTTAGCCGCTTTTATAAATTCGATAACTATCTATTGTCTGGAGAACAGTAGGAAATCCGCCCTTTTTGAAGTGCTGGCCCATACCCGGCCTTGTTAATGAAAACCCCTCCAGGTTGCTGGAAAACCGGCCTGGTAGCAATCCTACTGTCGGTCTTAGAGGGATAGCAAACCTAGGCGCTGCTTGGGGGCTTCGAGCCACAGACGAGTAATGAGGATGCATTAGTAGGTTGCTCTAGTTTTCAAAAAATGCGACAGTTGGTTCAAAATAGAAAGAAGGGGAGATGTATATCCAACCAGTGCTCGTGCTGAAAACCTTAAGATGACGATGAAATGAAGAAATTTCGTATAAAGAATGTATATATAGGGTTGTTCGGAAAGTCATTTCGCTTTTTCCCGACAGAGGATTTAATTGTATTCTTTTGCACCCAACTTCACATTTAAGCCGTATAATTTTTATATGCTTTGACAGCTCATATAGCAAGGCTTGTGTGTGAAAAATTCCAATTAATTCTACGCAGTAGTTTTTGGTTGGTGCCCTTTTAAATATGGAGAGCGATAAGCAGCATTTTCGACATATCTTACTGTTTTACTACAGAAAGGGTAAAAATGCTGTTCAAGCCAGAAAGAAATTGACTGATGTGTATGGAGAAGGTGTGTTGACAGTACGCCAGTGCCAGAACTGGTTCGCTAAATTTCGATCCGGCAATTTTGATGTCGAAGATGCACCACGTTCGGGAAGGCCGGTTGAAGCTGATAAAGACGCGATAAAGGCATTAGTTGATGTGAACCGGCGAATAACAACACGTGAGATCGGATTGAGGTTAAATTTATCAAATTCAACAGTTTATGACCACTTGAAAGGCCTGGGATTATCCTCGAAGCTCGATGTATGGGTTCCCCATGTTCTCACAGAGAGAAATCTGTGTCGCCGCATTGACGTCTGCGATTCGCTTCTCAAACGTCACGAAAATGATCCGTTTTTGAAGCGCATCATCACTGGGGACGAAAAATGGGTTGTATACAACAACGTCAAACGCAAGAGGTCATGGAGCAAAAAAGATGAACCGGCTCAAACCATTTCCAAAGCCGATATTCACCAAAAAAAGGTGATGCTGTCTGTTTGGTGGGATTTTAAAGGAATCGTTTTTTTTTAGCTTTTACCGGATAACACAACGATTAATTCGGAAGTCTACTGTCATCAGCTGGACAAACTGAATGATGCACTTCAACAGAAAAGGTCAGAACTAATCAACAGGAAAGGTGTAGTGTTTCACCAAGACAACGCGAGACCTCACACAAGTTTGGTCACTCGCCAAAAGCTTTTACAGCTTGAATGGGATACAATGCTACACCCACCATATTCTCCAGACCTGGCACCATCGGATTATTATTTGTTCCGGTCACTCCAAAATTTTTTAGACGGTAAAACCTTCACCTCAAATGAGGAGGTCAAAAACCTCCTCGATCAGTTTTTTGCCAGCAAAGACCAAAAATTTTATGAGCGTGGAATTATGCTACTACCAGAAAGATGGCAAAAGGTGTTGGACCAGAACGGTCAATATATAATTTAATAAAGTATTTGTTTATTATACGAAAACTGTCTTTCATTTCCACAAAAAAAAACGAAATGACTTTCCGAACAACCCTATATATAAAGTAATAGAAGAGCGCTCTTTAACGTTTCAAATAGTCCTTGTACCTCGAATGATTTATATCGTTTGATACAATTCCTAGTACACATGCATAAAATATCAAATTTTACAATAAGTTAGTTTCTAAAGAACTGAAAGACCTTATCGTGTTTTTGAAGGCACGAGCCGCCACTGAATAGGACAATTGTGAAATAATCTTTAATCTTTTCAGCGTCTTAGGATTACTTACCTAATAATACCTGTAAATTTCATACCTTGAGACATCATATACTAGCTCTGAATTGTGATTGATACCGATCAAAGTCGAAACAATAAGTACGTAAGGTTTATACTGGGCAGACAGTTCTGTGAATTCTACTAACTTAACTAACTAACAATTAAATAAAAATTTTCATAATAAGTTTAATTTAACACATTTCATTGTTTTTTAAATCACTGTAAATGTTATTTTGAAAGCAACAAGAGATTATTGTTTATTTTAGAAAACTTATCTTTAAAAACTTCAAGTATATTTGCCTTGAGCATACAAAAATAATGCATTTTAAAAATATAAAAATAGTCAAATAAGCTGACAAATACGAAAGATAACTAAATAATAACAGAAAATATGCACGTTGGATATATTTTTCACTGCTACGATAATTAGCCTTTCTATTTTCCTGTAGCCCTTTCTTTTAAAGTAATTTTATACATATATTTATTAGGGTTTAGAAAAATCACAGTAAAACGTTGTTCATCAATAAAATAAATTTCATATAGCACATACGAAATCACCCTGTATACAAGTCACCTGAAGCCATTATTCTTATTGCCAACTGATTTATTAGGAATGATAATAAAAACAACTTTTTGTAACTGCCTCAACTGAATAAAACGTGAAGATTCGTTAACAATTTTATATCACTGAAAACATGATAACAAGTACGAACGCTCTTCATCATAATAATTATAAATAAATCTATAGCAATACCATACCAGTATCATTTAGAATTTCATAACGGTTTTACAACAAATCCTTAGGGAGCAGTTAGTTTAAAATGGCACCAAAAGGTCAAAATGAAGGTAGGTACCAACTTATTTTTTGTTTTCTAACTTAATAGTGATATTTTGTTTAAAAAAACGACCTTATTTCATTAAACGTTTAAAACACTGTTAGAATTTGTACTTAAGTACGTGATAACTCAATTTCAAAAAAATTCTGAAACCGCAGAAATGGAAAATTATATAATTGTTGCTAATATCTATATAATGGTTATTGCATATTAGTATTTAATAATTTATTAAATTTGCGCCAGTATAAAAAATTTAAAAGATGAACATAATTAACTCCTTGTTGCGTACCTTTCTTATAATTATTATTAATTTTAGAAAAATACCGAATTTATGTTCAGATCATATTTACATTATATTTGTCAAATGTTTTTCATCTACTTTTGAATAATAGATGCATGTAATAATAATAATAATAAGAATAATAATATCCATATCGATAAAATTGTGTTTTCAGACTATGTACTTTCCTAATTAATTATTGAACTGTCTATTCATAAAGAACTCTTAAAAGATACTTTTTATAGATTAAAATTTATTAAAAATTAGGAACTTAGAATAATGTGCATTTTGGGAATATTTTACTTGTTAAATTACTTATGTATTTGTTACGTCGACTACGAGTAATTGTCTATTGCGTATACACAGGCAAAATTTTGCCTAGACCATGAAATAAGTAGTAGACTTGCAGATTTCATACACTAAACAAAACCGTGAAGCGGGCAATCATACAAATTAAACAACTGCGTTTTAAATTAATTATTTGCAAATATTCAGTAGGTTCTGGTCAAGGATACAAAAGATGTAATTGTACTTCATGGGTGTTGTCATTTCCTACCGTAACCTTATCAATCTAAGCTAGCCCATGAAAGCATTCATTAGATTGTCTAGAATCATAAAGTAAGTTATAGTAAGAATTTTTGTGATCGAAAACTACGTGATGCACTTATTAATATATATCTAGTTATTGCTTATTCTTTAGGCAAAAAGTTAAATGCGTATTTCCTGAAATCAGCAAATCCATTGCTTTGTTGCTTATTTTATGAATTAGGCAAAATTTTGCTGAGTACACACAATAGGCAATTACACACGTATTCGACGTAACAAATCTGCAAATAAGTTGCAAAAAATATTTATCGAAATTCTAAAGCAGATAGATAACGTACAAACATAGATACTGTACAATAAAATTTCTATACTTGTATAATGCTTCTATGTTCGCGAACGGTTAATTTAGAAATTCGAAAAAGGTTGTTAAAGGTGTATGTTTGAAGCGCGGCGTTGTACGGATGCGAAACATGGACAGTGGGCGCGGCGGAAAAGAAAAGGTTAGAAGCGTTCGAAATGTGGTGTTCTAGGCGAATGATGAGGATAACGTAGATAGAGAAGGTTAGAAATGAAGAGGTATTAGAAAGAATAGGATAACAGACAACTCTATGAAAGACAATAAAAAATAGACGAGATAGGTTGGTAGGACACCTTCTCACATATGAAGTCTAGTCAGAGGGTTAGGAGGGGTAGAGGCAGACCTAGGTTAAATTACTGTTCGCAAATAGTTAAGGATGTGGGTTGTTCTAGTTTTAGGGAAATGCGAAGATTAGCTCAGGATAGGAAAGAGTGAAGGAGTCTTAGGACTGACGACCTTATGATGATGACTTGTATAATTACCAGAGGTGTGATTTATTCGAAGCAATTCTACACAATGTAAAATGCAAATGGAACCTCTATTTCCATTTTCTATTTAAAATACCCCTTCTTAAAAATTAATTTCTACTAGGTATTCCCCGAGGCTTTGCCAACGAAAAATTATTATCATTTGCAGCATCTCGTCATTTTCATGTTAATTTGTACCTGAACTGCAGGTAAATTTGTACAAGCTAAAAGTGTACAAAAACAGATAATCGTAGTCATCAAATGTCACAATTACATTTTTTAGAATAGCAAGAAATGTCGAGTAGTAAGTATTAAAACAATACGACATTATTATTCAGTTATTAACATAGAATAAGGAATATTTTTATTTAGAATGATAATAGGAAAAAAAGTATGTAATAAATGTAGAAATTATTATGTAAACTATTATGAGCAGCAAAAAAAGATTTAATAATTGAGCAGCTTCATGAATTGTTAGGACTTTTAATCGGTCTGCTCTTAGACTAATATGTACATAGATAGATTTGTTTTTCGGTAGCTTTTAAACCTATTTTCCATTTTATAAATACCACATGCAAGCTACAAACGCTTACTTTCCATTATAGTCGAATCAAATTAAGTTATCCAATCAGTTTTCTTATAGAAGAATGCCAAAAATTTTGATTTGATCAATTAGAGGAGTGTGCGGTAGTCATGGCAGAGTTAACCTATTAACGTTGGATTTTCATACGTCAGAAATCATGATTATTTAAGGAAGACTTTCACAAAATTTAACATGCATTATATTTCGCCAAACATTGGCTTCTTCGGACTTGAGTAGTTACTAGTAATTACTTATGCTTAAAGATAATTAATTCGATAATAATAATCTAGAATTTATTTTATAAGATAAGAAACAGGCAAGAGCATAAACAATACATACAGACAAAAGGCTTGTTCTGTTCTGTATTCTTTTTTTCTGTTTGGTATTATCTAACTATACAGTGGCGGATTCATCAGCAGACTGAGTAGACTTGAACGTAATAGAGCGACAGATTTTAGAGGCGGCAAATTTGGGGTCAAAACTGTTTTTTATGTCTTACAAAAATTAAAAAGATTTATATTTATAAACCTAAATGTTGTTAGGTCCACATAGACAATTCGACATGTACGTAATATGTTTCACCATTTAGATAAATTTAAATACGGTTTTTAAATTGTAAGCGCAATAAAAACTATTTAATTACGTTTACCGACTGTACATTATCGCGTAAGTAGTATTTAAGGCATACGTTACCCCACATCATTAATAGTTCATGATTGAACTTTTATTAGATCAGAAATATACCCAAAAACTACTTTTTATGCAATTTTTATCTTAATTAAATCGCTGGGAAAAACGATTGACAATTAGGACGATATTGCACAAAATATAAAGTTACAATTTCATTGACAAAAGAAATATAATTAAGATAATTGTGAACTATTCGAAATTTAAAATAAAGGTACTTGGAGACTGAGTGTAGCTGTAGAGACTTCGAGATATACGTTCACGTTGTGGCCCTATAGCCCGAATCTTTATTCTACTACAACTTTCTTATATTTCAAAAAAAATTTATTAAATCTGTGCATACGTTTCGACGTCTTACTTCTCTTTCAAAAGTAAAAATCAAACTAGTCGCATGCCTATTAACGTTACTGAAGTCTGATCGTTAGTAGCACATGGCTCGTTTAATAATTTTTTTAATTTCTAATTGTTCTTACAATAAACTTAATTTCCTAAGATTTAAATATAGTTATTTCGTATATACCTTCCTATAATGTGTCTTTTTTAAATTTTTAAGATTCACCCGTGTTTAGCACATCAGAATGTAAAAGATTTATTGTGGACTGCCTAGAAGCAGTAGGAACCATTCCAGAACATGCCAAAGCTCATGCAGACCTTTTAGTAGATGCTGACTATCGAGGACATTACAGCCATGGAATGAATCGATTAGGTAAGTAGTTACTACTCCAATAAAACCGATAAATTAGGTATCTGGTTATTAATAAGGAAAGGTACGCTAGCCAATTCTTTGTAAAATTATTTTATTTTTCATGTTCGATTTTTCATTTTAGCTTTACGGGTAATAATAGAGAAAACAATAGAAAAAGGAAAGAGCTCGTACATAGGTTGCATACTATCACTATCAGTTTTTAATCTATGTATTTATCGAAGACGCGATAAACATCATTAAAGACAGAACAACTTTAGACATAAATATACAGGGGCAAAAGATTAGTATGCTTAGATTTACAGTATTAGCTTTTAGCAAAGGGAAGTTAGAGACAGCTTTGAATAAAATTGAAGCAGTACTGACAAAACAGTATTGTATGAAAATAAATAAAAGTAAAACAAAAATGATGATATAGAAGGAGAGAAAAAGTAGGGAAAGGGAGAATATAAAGATCGGAGACAAAAAATTAGGAGAAGTGGTATCGAGGAAGTCAGATAACCAATGATGGAAGAAGCAGCAAAGATATAAAACAGAGGACAACGCAGGGTCAAGTCACCTTTAACAAAAAGCGTTCGAAACGTCGTGTTACAGGCGAAAGATGAGGATACCCTGTATAGAAAAGGTTAGGAATGAAGAGGCATTAGAAAAAGTAGGAGAACAGAGGACGCTATGGCGGTCGGTAAGAAATGGGCGATGTAGGTTGGTAGGACACCTTCTCAAGCATGAAGGGCTATTTAGAGACATATTAGAAGCAGAAGCAATAGCTAATATGAGTAGAAGTAGACCTAGATTAGATTACTGTTCACAAATAGTTAAGGATGTAGGATGTTTTAGTTTTAGAAAAATTCAGAAATTAGCTAAAATAGGAACCAATCTTAAGATTGACGACCTTGTGATGATGATGATGATGTTCAATTTTTCAATTAGTTGCAGAAAAAGTTATCATCGAATGAATAAAGGTTTTTTAGTTACAAGTTGCAGCAAGCATCCCTCGTGGGCATATATGAGAGAAAGGGGACCCTAGAAATTACTCTCCTTGCTCCAAGAATTAATTAATTATACAATACACATAATAAAAGTGAATATACCACCTACTTATTTACACCAGTCACTACATAGTCTCCGAAAATATCAGTTAGATGCAGTCGCTTAAAGAGATATGTCGTAATAAGCAATGTCGTAAAAAGCAATGTTTTTTATAAGGCGGCCTAATAGAATTCAGCCAGGACTTATGATTTTGGTCAATTTAACCGGTATGTTGCTCTAAACGATGTCGTCGTAAACGTTTTTAACTGTAATTACATTAGTAAAACAGGCAAAAATATCATTAAAGTAAGATTATTTTTATAGAAAATTATATCAACGACGTCATAAGAAAATCGTGTGATCCGAATGCAACGCCAAAGATTCTGAAGGAAAATGCCGCCACCGCTTGGGTAGATGGCTGCAATGGACTGGGATCGGTAGTTGGAAACTACTGCATGGACTTGGCAATTAAGAAAGCAAAAGAAGTAGGAGTTGGATGGGTTGTATGCAAAGGTATGTATTATTATTTTTAATCCTCATTTTTTTTCTGAGATAATTCCTTCTCTCTTTCTGAATGTTTCTTGGCAAAAAATTCTAAAAACTAATAAAGCTAATTTTTTTGTACTGCACTTTATGAATATGAAAGGTAATTTATGATTTTTTATTAACGTGTAAATAGTGTGCAACAATAATACACTTTATTTTTCTTTTAAATCCGAAGTGTTTTCAACCAATAATAAAATAAATAAAAGATTAGAATGTGGGTTTTCTACAGCGAAATAAATTATTTCGTTTGTTAGCAACAAAACACAAATACAATTTTTCAAATTAATAAGGAGAAATAAAAACAAATAATTCAAAACCCAACTGTCCAACGAGCCAAATAAATTCTCTTAAGTTCTTGGTCAAAAATTTATCGAAACTACCAGATTTTGGATCTGTTAGATCTCATCAGCGCGACATAGTTACTGTCAACTTACTCAAACGTAAGAAACTCCTAAACAGCGAATTGTTATAATATTGAAGTAGAGACAATGTATCGCTATTGAGAATGTTATATCTTGTGAAAAAACACAGTTTTGCTAAAAAATTCCGGTTTTCAGCTGCAAAGATATGGGGGTAAAAGGCGTTTGCTCAGAATATCAGAATATCACATATTTTTTTTATAATACATTACATCTACAAGATTCGAGAATGTTTTAGAATTTTCTAGAAGGTTCGAGAACGCTCTTACCGAGCGGCATGGCCTAGAGGTCTAGACCATTGCTTAGCATTCGGGAGGACGCCGGTTCGATTCCGGGTCCGTCTGCCTTGGTCCAAGTTTTTCTGTGGTTTCCTTGGATCACTTAGGCAAATGCTGAGG